AACTTTCTTTTTCAAAAGAAAAGCCAAAACTTGTCCCCAATGTCTTAAAAACTCTCCCTGCCTTTTCCCATCTCAGCTTGCACCCATCTATCATACCACCCTTCCCCTGCTCCAGCCACCCTCCGCTATTGCCAGTCCCCTTCCCTCCTCCACCCCCCCCTTGTCATCTCCCCCACAGTAACTCCTCTCCAAATCCCAACAAGGTTTTCTAATTAGACTAATTAATTTTCTGCCCAAGTTAATAAGACTGTCTGTGGTTCAGAAATAATTGGACTTCCCAAACACCAATCTCCCCTCCCCTCCCATCTCTCCCTCAGCGGTGAGCTGCGATAGGGCTTCTTAATAATTCAAAATTAGCTTCTGTTTTTCATATGATGGCCCCACATTTCAAGAGTTATTTAGTTTTTTCATTAACGCTTTGGCACCAGTTCCCCGGCCGGAGACGAGCAGAAGCCGGGGGGATGCGAGCGTGTAGCGGGGGGATGGGAAGCCAGTGAGCCTGGATTTGCTCCAAGAGTCATTCAGGGATCATTCAGGGATCAGTGCACCATGGGACTCCCAGGTTACATACGACCAGTTTTCTGGCAGATCTATTCCCACCCTTCAGCCCCAGGCTTCATTTGAGAGTGTTTTGGTGTCTGAGCCGAAGCAACAGCCATGAGAAGAGGAGTTGGGTGGAAAGTGCTGCCTCCATACACCGCCTTGGCCCGAAGTGAGTGCCTTGCTCTGAGCATCCTCACAGATACGGGCCTTTCTGCCTACCGCAAAGTTGTCAGCCCTGTGTTTTCTGCTCAAAATACCAGCCCCTGCTAGCAGAGGCTCCAGGGAGAGCAAACAGCATAAAGGGCCTTGTGTCTCTGGTACAAAGCCAGACTGGGTCAGTCGCAGCAGAAAGCCATTACCCTCTGGAAGCTAATGTGACAGGAACTTCTAGTTTCAGTCCAGTTGCTTGCTGACAAGTGCCTGTGCCACAACTGGTGCCTTAGCTAGACATCTCAACATACATACTGCTCCTGCGGGTTGCTGGGGGCCTTCGGTCCCATGCAGGTCAACAGAGGCTGAAAATTTCCCAGGATCAGGGCAGGATCCCTCCTAGTACTGCACTCCAACTGCTGCAAAAATGCTGATTATTATCTTACCGTTGCATCATGCATTTTGCCTGTGGTAGGTACTTTCTCCTATTGCCCTGAGGCAGGTCTTCAGCACTCGGGGGCTGAATTTCACTCCATGCACCTCAGCAATTTGGGCAATGGGTGTCAAAGCGAAGGCAGTATTGGAGAGCTGGTTTCTTTTGAAAGCAACCTAGAGATGAATCTAATCTTGGGGGAGAAGTCCCTGTATCCAGCAATTTGTGCTGGGATTTAGCTTTCATATTAAGACTCTCATGCTTATGGTTTTTTTAACAGATTAAAGTTCCTTTGCAGTGGTAAAAGGTGTCAGAATGAGAGTCCTGGTAATGGAAACCCTCTCCTTATCCTCTGGGAAAGTAAAGCATGGCAGTAGCAAAGGAAGCTTCCTGCACATGTTTCAGGGAGCCTGGCCTCTATGGCTTGGTTAGACCTCAGCCCTTTGACTTTGGCTATGGCTCAAGATAGAAGGGGAGATCAGAGCAGCGTGAAGCAGCAGGGTTGGGTTGCCGTCTGGTTAGAACGAAGCTGAAACTCTCCAGAGCCAAGGATCCCCTTGCAAACTTCCCACATCAAAGTCATGCCAGCGATAAACCTGGGCAGAAGCCTTTCATGGATGGGGAGATTTAAGTGCATTGCAAAAATGCACAGCTGCCTTTGGAATCCACGTCTACATCCAGAGGTGGCTTCAGCCCAGTGATCCTTGCTCAGTGCCATGGCACCCTGGGGTGCCTTGAGAGTCTTTCAAGTGTCACACAATGTTAGCACTCTTAGGTGTGCAAATGCAATTCACAAGATAAATCTGGAGATTTCATAGATTC